ACAGAGAACAAGTGCATTACCACTACACGCCGTTCAGATTATGAGTTACTGCACGTCTCTTTTTGGGAACAAAATAGTTAGCTCAAGTACTGACGTTTGTGAGTTCCAGCTAGTTACTGCTTCGTGTAGGAGGCATTCCAAAGCTCAGCAACTAGTAGCAAAACTATTTCATTTAAGCATAAAGGTCATTGAACCCACTGTAGAGCACAGATCTTTGAAGTCGAACCCCTTTCAAACTAAATGTTCGACGAAATTATGAATCAATACTCAAAATGAATCCCACCAGCGTACTTCCAGACTCTGTAAAACAGCTCAAACTACAAAGCATGACAATCGCCTTAGGCAGCCGAAAGCCACGTTGATAGTGGTGACAGTACCTTCAAACTTAGTGACTTGGAACCTTATTGAGTAGTCTAATCATACAATTGTGATTCTCTTGTCGGACCTCGATGAAAAAAGAAATCCAAATATACAAGGTAAGTGGTCTCGGTGTGCATGCTCATGAAAAGGTAACAGTTTTGCAACCTTTCTGCATACGTTCAAAAAAGCACCAGTGTAAGGTAAAGAAGGACGACTTTGAACTGAAGAAGCGAGTCTTAACCAGGCTTCACAAGGGCACTGTGGGGATACCTAGAGAGTCTGAAGAGGGGATCTTCATTCTACCTCGCGATTACTCTTCACCGCTCTTGCTATGCTCACATTGGCTCATATAGGTCAAAATATAATTCCTCGCTTCTTCTTTCAACAACAGGCTCCATCTCCACTGGAAGACCGGCTTGCTGTCCGCTCTACATAGAAATGAGACAACGAGGACGTTGCGGAGCGTCCCCGAATAGCATAATCCGTTGGCAGAAGCCAGAGTTCACAGAGGACGACTGTGTGCAATCGGTGGTCAGGTGCAAAGCTGTGAGCAAACAACAGCACCGTTAAACAGGATCACACCTTGTTGTCACCTTCGGCAACACTTCGCGCCTGGAAGACCACCACAAGACGATTCCCCATCCGCACCCATAAGACCACTTGTATATTTACAACCTCCTGAAAAAATCCTTCTTTGCCTTGCTTGTTTCACTTCTGTGCTCTTCCAATTATTGAGTTACCTTAGAAATGCTGTTGTCACTAGGAGGGGATTTTCGGATATTTGTAACGAAATTCGTAAAAATACAAGTTGGGGCCAGAATTTTGGGGCTCCATGATTTCCATGAATTTCGACCCTTGAAGTTTCCATTTTTTCTGAAGACCTATAAAAAAGTTGTTTTCACTTACGAGAAATCTGATGAATTTTAAGAGTATTAGGCAGTTTTCTCAAGGTTATGGGGAAAACTTTTCCAGATCTTGCAATTTTTCTTTACTTGCAGGCACCCAATCGAAGGTTCCCTCCTCATCACGATGATACGGTAAGTATTTTTCTTTTTTTAATTCGATCAATTTAATTCTCACTGAAATTCATCTAAGATGTATGTTACGAATGGCTTACTGTTCGTCATCGACGCCATCGTTTATACCCTCGAGACCTCTCGAAAGTCAATGTTAATAAGCTCTGAACGCCCTTTTGTGGTTTCTATAGATGTGTAAAGTGATGGTAGAGTTGCCGGCCAAAAGCTCGAGGTTCTCGACAGCTGAGGATTGAAACTTTGTTCTCTCATCTGAAACGTTGTGCATACAAACCATATAACAATGGAATGAAGTACGGGTTTCCTGACGATACTTCAGCTCATTTTTATTTTTATACTTCAGCCCACCTAAATTTGTGGAATTCCAGAAAAATCAGGTCTCCAGCGTATTTTAGCTGGTAACGAACCCTTCTGGGAATATAAAGGCTTTGAATCCTATGTCAACCACCTTTCCAAGTCGATGTATAGGCATAGTACACATTCGAACGTCACTAAGATTCTGGATGGGGGTCAAATGTGTGGCGTTCCCAACAGGAAACTGACGGGACCAAAAAACATTATCCTGCGTTCTTGTTATCAGATGAAGAATCTACATATGTATCGTCTCTACAGTCAGTTTACGCTGTGGGATCTTTCGACAAAAGGAGCGATTGGAACTTCGAAGTTAAGCAGCCAGAAAGGAATCAATTTTATTATTGGTATCTGGGAATGTTTTCCTCCTCGCTCTTTGGGTACTCGGTTTTGGGTCTTTGAGGGTAGGTGAGTGGATCATTAAGAAATTGGAAACTGTACGAATCAGCATGCATTCGCTGATAGAATATTGAATTCTTATCCAACAACAGACCCTCATCTTGTCCTGTTTCTTATTATCTGTCGTCACATACCATTTGTCAGAAGCAGAACGATGTAGGGCCCAGGCAGATCGTTCCTACTCCTCTTCATTTGCAGCTCAATTCTGCCAAACCTTTTACACGCGCTTTCCGCTGAGAAATCCACGTTTGCCTCCCATGATAGTTCGAACCGGAACAGTTGCAAAGGTAGTGAAAAAACCCAAAAACATAGAACATTCAAATCTCAAATCAAAACAAGCGGTCTTTCATGACGGCATGACAACATCGAACGTTCACGCTTAATGGGGTAGTTGGCAGAAGTGGAGAGGCTTGCATTGAAGTTTTTCAATAATAATTATATTGAACCATGCAAGTTAATGGCAGAGAGTCTCTCTGTAAAAGGCTTTCGAAGCATAAATGAGTTTGAAGCGACCATCCAAATTTGTGTCAAGCGCAAACTTGCTCGACACTGGTGTTTGCTCGCCCTTTGTTTTCGTTGAACAGTCTCGCATGAGGTCCTAGGTAGGGACCCGGTTATTGTTCTTCATTCCTGGTGCCCCTACTAATAAGTAGGTAGCGTTGATGTTACCAACATAGTGGGCATTCCACGACATTCCACAAAAGCGAACAGTAATTCATTCCCAAGTACTCTGTCACACGCATTATTCGG